TGCCTTTCCGTACCTTTCATTTAACAGACCACCAATTTAAAAGTGATACAACTCGATCATAATAGGCAGCAAACACAAAAGAACAATGTCATTTTTTTTGCAAAAACATATTTATGACTTGAATGTCCATCTACGCGTCTGTAACTATCGTATCGTGCACTCTCAGTCATCATTCGTTTCTTGCAACGATTTACACCAGTTTACACCATAAGATAGCACTTAACGGGGCATTTTAGCCACTAATTTTGGCGAATTTTAAAAAATTATTTACAAGACATTAAGAGTTTAAATTTGGGTATTATATTAAGAATAGTGCTGTTGAGGAATGCATTTATTTTCATTATGATATTTCAAAATTTAAATTACTTTGATTTTTTTTCTTGGAAACTGGAAGGAGTTAAAACTTTTAAATATATGCATATTATAGATATTATTGCCTAATTTATTTTCCCAAAATTTTAATAAAAAAAAAAATACTTTTTAAGATATGCTTTTTCGAAAATTATAGGGGGTGCTGTAATCACCTTAAAGAATATGTTGAAAATAGTAAAGCCATCTGTTACAGTAATTTGTGATAAAATCTATACAATATAACTCTTGGTGTCATGACTATCGATAATCGCATAAGTGAATTTATTGTCAAATGACAATTTTTAACAAAATGTTTAGTGCATAAATGAATTTTGTTATTAATACCTAAGTAACAATACAAGTATTGTATTACCATAACTGCGAAAAGATTGGATAACATTTTTGAAAAAAAAAATAAAAACATCTCACGCGACATCTCAAGGTAAAACAGGAAGAATTTATGTATTTATGCAGAGCACGGTTCAAACCATATATAGCCATATTTTAAAATAAGACTGTTTTATTCAGTTTTACGGTAGTGCAATAAAAACATCCGTTAGCATTTTCCAGCTCGCGATTTTAAAATAAGACTGTTTTATTCAGTTTTACGGTAGTGCAATAAAAACATCCGTTAGCATTTTCCAGCTCGCGATTTTATTTAAAAAAAAGTAGTTCCTCTTGTTAACGGCCCACACGCATAAACCATAACAAAAAAAAAACAATTTTATTTTTACTATTTGATCCATATTTATTATTGCAAGGAATCAAACTGTGTAAACATCAACAATTCTAAGAACGAGTTTTAGAAGTCATACCGCCCACACGTACCTAATTGTTCGATAGTCAGGGAGCTTGTTTTCTTTTATCTAATAATATCTTTATGAACTTATAATTCTGGTTATTATTAGTCTTTTTTCCTGGTGGATTTCTCTAACATTCATTTTTTTAATTTATACTGTATCTTGATAGATAAACAGTCTTCAACAACATCTATGTACCACTAGTTGACCAAGTGCGTGCGTGCAATGGGTGACCAGTTCACGACGGCCAGGTCGTCACGACTAATACATATTTGCGACAATGATCGCAGCAAATATCAAGCGACCAATTTTCAAGTATCAAAATGATTATTGAACAAGTAGCATTTTCCTTTCAGTTCGTTACCTTTTACCTAATACGATGTATCGTATTGGTCACGGCGTTTTATTGGCTGTGTGTACGTCGCGCAGGTTTTCGTTGGCTGTCGCGACCTCTTGGTCGTGGTCGGTAATGCATTATGTACAATTAACATGAACAGTTCTAGTGATCGTGATGACCTAGCTGTCACAATTTGGTCGCTCAGTGCACGCACGCTCTAATAATGCCATTTCAATTATAATATTTACCAACTTGAAAATTCATTCTCCACTATTTTTCCAGGAAGACTATGTTGTAAAGTCGAAAGCACTCGCCCGTTTCTAAATATTTGTGTATCATCCTACGCTTCGCCACTGACCTAATTATTTATATCGAAATAGGTTTCAGTACAAAAGAAGAACTCATGCTCAAGGGTAACCACTCCGGAGGTATACTCGAAGACTGGATATACAAGCACAATCTAGAGCTAGCACGACACAAACCGGAAGCGGTAATAAGGTAAGGGAACAACAAAGCAGCAACGAGCAAGGGAAACGATCACATTTATCGTTGGAGGACAAGAAATAACCCCTAAGGTCGCAGCCAAGTGTCTTGGAATATACATGCACCACCAAGGAACGATCGGGCAGCATGTTAGAAGGGTATGTAAAAAAAGCTGAAAGCAGAACAGTAATGCTGGTGAGGGTGATGTCAAGCATAGGAAGCCCAAGTAATCTAAAAAGAGAAATACTGTGTAACCTGATCCACTCGATTATACCCTATAGCGCTTCCATCTGGGAGAGGTCCCTTGATATTCAAAGATATAAGAACTTACTTCCACGCACATAAAAATCCCTTTAAAAGGTCGCAAGCGCACTGTTTTTTCAGATGCGTTAAACCCTGCCATTAAAGAACTAGTGACAGAATGGGCATAAACCAATAGAAATGAATGGGTGAGAGGGCATGGAAAATACATACAAGAAGGAGGGCCATCGAGAGACAGCAATAAGGCAATATGGACAAAATACAAAAGTTACTTAGTTCTTGACAGGAAACGGATTCTTCTTAATATACCTCAAGAAAATCAGGAAGGTACATAAAGCAATCTGTAAACAGTGTAATGCCGCCGACTCACCAGACCACGTAATGTTTAGCTGCATAAAATTCAGCGAAGATAGGATGAAAACTGAGGATGAAATCGGAATGCAATTGTCTTGCTTAATTTTTTCATATCGAGTTTTTTAAGAAAATATTTTAAACTGCCTAAATACTCTATACCAATAAAAACTCCCAGGCCGGATATTTTGGTAAGTAATAGAGAGATTTTAATTCTGTAAAAGCCAGTTCACAGAGCACTAAGAGAGCTTTAGTATTAGATATAAATTAATTTTAAATGGGTCAATATGTAGATGGCGCTGCGTTCATTAATTTTTTTTCGATGGGAGGATCTTTCTTGTGTAGCGCATCTTGTAAAAATGCATTTTTAAGCAGATTTTGTTCCATAAACTAATTCGATAAATCTAGCTATTTTTGATATACAGAGTGGGTCACTCAAAACAGTTTCATCCTGTTTTTCAGCATTAATCATATGATTTTAAGAAAATGCTAAAACAGGTCGATTTTTATTCCAAATTAAAAACATTTTTACAATAAAGACATCTGTCATGTGTCAACCCCCTCCCTTGCACTTCTCCAACACCTTAATTTTAAATAGGTAATGAACCATGTATGGCACATCATTGAAAAGGTAATTTAATGGGGAATTTAGAAATATTCTTGTACATTGCGTTACTTAAATTTTATCGCCCTCTAGCGGGATAAAAAACTATTACGTATTATAGAGTGTGATACATCACTAAAAAGGTAATTTTATGGGACGTTTATAAATATGACTCTTCATTGCGATACTTTTAATTGTACTGCCCTCTATCGGAATAAAAAAACTACGTATTATAAAGTGTGATAGCTTATTTGAAAGCAAGTTTAATGACTTATTCAATGCACCACAACATTAATATAAATATCCTATATATTGCACTTGCAATAGTTTGAAAATTAGTATTATGTATTATTTTAAACATTATTGCTAACATTATTTTATTGCAAGTGCAATATGAAAATATTTATATTATTGTTATGTGGTGCACTGAATTAGAACTTAAATTAGTTTTCAAATAAAGTGTTACACTTTATAATGCGTTACAGGATTTTTATCCTGACAGAGGGCGCTAAAATTAAAAGTATCACAACAAAGAGTCATATTTCTGACTTCCTCATAAAATTACCTTTTTAATGATGTGCCGTACATGGTACAATCCTTATTTAAAATTAAGGGGTTGTATAAGTGGAAGAGAGGGGGTTGACATATGGCAGATGTCTGTATTGTAAAAATGTGTTCAATTTGGAATAAAAATAGACCTGTTTTAGTATTTTCTTAAAATCCAATGATTAATGCAGAAAAACAGGATGAAACAGTTTTGAGTGACCCACTCTGTATATCAAAAATGGCTAGATTTATCGAATTAGTTTATAAAACAAAATTTGCTTAAAAATGCATTTTTTATAAGATGCGCTATATAAGAAAGATCCTCCAATCGAAAAAAAAAAAAATATTGAGCGCAGCGCCATTTACATATTGACCTATTTTTATAATTAATTTATATCTAAAACTGAAGCTCTCTTAGCGATCTATAAAATGGCTTCTACAGAATTAAAATATCTCTATTACTTACCAAATTATCCAGCCTGGGAGTTTTTATTGGTACACCCTGTATACATAACCTATATTAAATATTTAAATCGGAAATCGGACTAAATAAGCTAATTTTCTTCAGCTCATCTTTAGTGCGTACATAATACAGGTTTTTATTTTGAATATAACAAAATTAATAAGAATCGTGAACTAGTTTCTAAAATTACTCCACAGGGTGTTTGAAATTAAATCACCAATGCATAATTTTGGTTTTCCTTAGAAAAGGTGTAGCAATATTTCTATCAACAATATTTATGAATATTCTTTGCAATATGCCAAAAGATAATAAAATTTAGTGAATAGTAGAAAATGTTTTCTTCTTTATGTATATTTTAAGATCCTTTTATTCTCTTTTAGATTAGAGTATCTAAACACCGAGTATAATTTTGTTTAAAAAATATCTATTTGAAAAAAGCAGTAAGCCCCGCCACTATATTCGGTAAAGAAAGGAAAAATAACTCAAGTGGAATAATCAACATAATCATATTTAACTTAAGTCGAATGTAGTGAATTAATTTACAAATTAATTTACTGGGAAATCATTAATAACATTATTCTTAGTAAATATTTTAGTATGAATATTTTAAGGAGCGCACCTGGCAAATAAGCATTCTTCGTGAAAATTATTGACAATATTTTATCAGTTGACGTACCGTAGCTAATTAAAACGCTTTTATTATACAGAGTGTCTTGTTAGAAGCTGACTCTTAAACTCCTTTCGACCTTCTGCATTCTGTTCTTGATTATAAAATTTAATTACAGTTAAAAGTTATGTACCTACCGACATGTGTGAAACTCCTAACGGTATTCGCGCTCTTCGTGTGCCACCCCTTTCTGGGTATCGTCGTCGTGTCCAGGGGAAACCCCATCTGCTTCTCGTACATCTCCAGCATCGCTTTGGGTATTACTATTTTCGATTTGTCTATTTTCGGCCTGCCCTTGAAACCGAATAATGACAAAAAATTTGTTTCTACTTGGTCTAAAACTTCTTTGGGAACGTTCGAGGAGTCTGTCCTCCAACAACACTCGAGGACGGCCAGCACTACCAGCCAAAAACTGTTGCTTAAATTCATTTTAGTCAGCCTGAAACAAGAAAATCTACTATTAATATCGTCTGATATTTTGGTCAATTCAAATACTTGTCAAAAAAGGGAAGGAGTTTTGTCATATGAATAAATTTATGTATATATTAAAGAAAAACAACGTTTTTACTGACTTTTTCGAAATAGCTCCAGTCAAACTATGAATGGAACTAGACTATCTGTTTGTAAATTGAATAAAAATTAATTAAACCAGAAACATAGGTTAACCTTTTTGTGTTGTGTAATCTTTAATCCGGTCTTTTCATTTACAAAATCCAAATTTCCTTCGACAAGGTGTTGAAGAGCTCTTGGTTTCAAGTACCCCGTTTTTGAGTACCTTAGCCCAAGTACTTGAAGTGGAAAGTTAAGACGAGGACAAAAGCAGCTGGAATCCCACCCGCATTGAATAATGCGTAATACAAACAAACTTTGAGTGAATGGTGGGATTTCAAAGTACATCAAGCAATATTAGCAAGCAGTATTATGTAAACAATATAAAGAAAAGGCTATTTATGACATTTATGTAATATATAAATAAATTGAGATAGCTGTAGTTTCACACAGTTCCATTCTAATATCACCCTACACTGGTATATACTAGTAGAATAGACTATAATTTCTACAATTTGACAATTGATGTGTCCTCAATATATTTTGGGTCTGACTGATTAATTGAAAAAAAATTATTTACAAATTGTTAATTTTTCAGGAGTTACTCCGTTAAACTATTTTATTTTAGTTTTCTTTCCAGGAATTACCCTATTCAAGGCCCAGTAATATTTAGAAATATGTAGATAATAAGTTTTTAAATGTGTTTCTTTAATTATGGTGAGGCCCGCAGGTTTAATCGAAAAAACAAATTTGGCCCGCGCATAAAAATATTTGCAAACCCCTGCTCTGTTGTGCCTCTATCTAAATAAATGACATACTTTATAAAAATAAAGACCAACTTTTGAAAAACTCTGTATAGAAGATTTTCAGTTTTTGTTTTAAGAGTTAAAAACAAAGCAATAATATATGACAGAATCTGAATGTTAAATATATCACAGAAAACTCGTTTTTTGGATTTGTTATCATTCGCAAAGTTGATAAAAATACTTTTTGGAAGGATATTAAAAAGCTCATGTTAATGAGTTGGCGGTGTTATTTTGACTATAAAAACAAACAATGTAACAAAATTTCAAAAAATCAATAAAAAAGGTAGTGACTAATTTAACGCTATATCAATATCAATAAAATTCCTTAAAGTCGATGCATAGTTCCAGTAAAAACACCAGTAATAATTCTTAAAAATAAATTATAGTCTACCAGTGATTACTTAATTATAATATATTACCATCTAAACCGTACAACAAATGAATCATACATAATACAATAATAATACTCCTGTTTGTTGATGTATCAATTACAAAACTAATGTTCTTATTGTTTAATATATTATTATTATTCTTTTTTAGATTGTTATTTTGTCACATGTATGACAATTAATTTTATCTATCAATTTACCTCCGATGAATCATACAGAAGAAGACGTGAATCATTATTTTTTGATTTATGATTTATGACCATTTAAAAGCAAGTAGTCGCTGGGAAGATCTATTATAGTTGAATCTGGAAATAACAGGCAGTAACAAAATGTCAGGAATTTGTAAAGAATGGTAAGAGGTTTTCCATATGCAATATCCAATATATACCCGTAACTTAAAAATATCCTATTGCTCCGTAACCTCCAAAATATTATGCGAACTTAGACGCAATGACAGCAGCGTTCTTTACACATTCCATTACTACATATTATTTTTGGTATAGAAGTGTACATAGTCTATAGATGTTTATTGATATGGAAAAGACATAAGATATGATTCCAAGGGATTCTTCTACCCAAATAACACAAAGTCGCGGGATTGCATCGGTGACTATAAATTTCAGGATAAAAAGGAACTCCATCCCCTCAAACCCGATCCATGATCCCTTCATTGCGATTGAAGAGGCTAAGAATACCTATAGCAGCTTGCTTCCAAATTAAAGAATAAAATGCACTTGCTTTGCCTTTTGTTTACCAGTCCGCTATCATAAGCGGCCACGCCCCATCTGCTACGTGACAGTTATGTAGTTGCCACTAAAATGGAGAAAAAAATTTAGTCAGCTACCTAGTAACTGCCACTATCACTTTTTAATTAATTATATCTTTTATCTTTGTTTTTTTTTTTTATTTAATAATGGCGTAGTGGTATAATATATTAAAAATATGTGCACTTTAGTCGCGTGTGTAAAGTACTTCTTTAGTTATTATTTGAAGGCAATGTTTGATATAAATTAAGATATTAAGTGATACAATTTCAACGTGCCCTTAATACAAAATAATTTAAAAAGACACGATTAAAAACTTTAAACATTTATTGGGGAAACATTTCTAATATTTTCAAAATAATTTTTTGTAAAAAGTTACTATGCTATTTATATAACTATTTTTAATTAAAACCATTTTTTTTAGCAACTAAAAGCCTGCCGATTTTACCAAAGGTACTATAAAGTTATGCCCTCCACCATAAATTTTCTGAAGCTCTATAGTGGGCTTAAGTCAAACTAAGATAGTGGCAAAAATAGTAAAGTACCAAAAGGAACTATTTCGCTACACAGGTTTCCACTAAAATGCCACGATGCTGTAAAGTTCCAAGTGATGGTCACTGAAACTATTCTGGGACCTTTCTAGACATATGAATAGCACTGATTCACTAATACTATATAGTTTTTACCACTATATAGTAACAATAAAATGATACTGTCCATTTTTAGTAACTACCCAAATGTTACTTTGACTTTGGGTGTTTACAGTTCCAATTAATGATATCGGTATGGTAGCAGTTATTTTAAAAGAACCATATAAAGTAGCCTTGTCCAACAAAGAAGCAATCTTATTACTAGGGTGTACCCCAAGAACTAAGGCTTTGTAGCAAAACCGAAAGGATTTGGAACCATGATTATTACTTGGATATTGATAACAAACATTTTTATTAAACATATTCTACTGACATGGAAATTTCAATCTGAATTTTCAATTAATCAGAGACACTCCTCTAAAATATTAAAAAAAATAAACAAGCTAAATATAAAAGAAGATTTAAAAATCTTGTACTCCGGAAAATTTGACTCACTACAGCCGTATTCTGCTTCTCTGCTCCTTATTATTTATTACCCTTCTAATACTAATACATCTATACCGTTATTGAACGGCCTTCGTTTCAGATTTAGAAAATATCAAATACTTTTAAGTTTGTTTTATTTCAAATAAATATTCATCACCAATTTCTATTTCTAATTGTAATACAATTTATCCGACAAGTGAAAATCACTAGTGTGGGGTGTGGGAAAGTAACTAAAAGATATCACTTCCGCACAAGTGTTGGAAAGCAAATTTTCCTAAACTGAAATGCGTGTGGAAAAGAGGATTTTCCGCACGCTCGTAGAAAACATGAATTAACATTCCCATGACAACTTCACCCTAATTTGAATTATTACTGTCTATTTCAGATACTTCACTACCCTAGCGCATGGTGTAAATATACATAAAAAATGCGGCAAAAACCATCAAATTTCCATACTGAAATATCCATATTGCATATACATATAAACTCAGTGCTGTAATGTCTGGAGACCGGAATTCAGCATTATTAATAATAATAATACTACTCCTAATTAACCCCTTTACGAGTGGATTTCAACCCCTGAACCCAACTGAACGACTTGTGTAGGGGAAGAGATGGATATTATTATTATTTGCCATGGCGCTTAGAGATGATTGATGGTGCCATGTGACTTACTTAAATTTATATTAGTACCTAACTAGATTTAACATTTTAAAATAGCGCATTTTTGAGAAACTAGTTATCTTTTAAATAATTTGAATTCTCACATAAAAAACATATAATCTCAATTTTTCAGCCTTCCAGCACCACTTAATATGTTTTAATTTAATATTTACTTAGCTTGGCCTGTGACAGGACAACGTCTGACTACCAGGGCCACTAGTTTTCTATAGTTTTTAAAACATTTACAGATTTTCGCTTAATTAAACTGCAGAATCTTTTAGACCATTGCAGTTATTCTGTTATTTTAGACAGTTACATATTTAATTTGAAACAATAGAATTTTTTTGCAGGTTCTCAGAGATTTGCAGACGTTTTTAATTTCATATTTAGACCATGATTGGCAGAATTACAATTTTTAAATGCGTAATTCTTTTATAAATTTATCCATTTTTTTTACAATAGAAAAAAGAAAAACTTTTTTAAAATGCTTTAATATAAATCTCGCATTTTGACAAATTTGAGTTAATTTAAAATCTGATTAAAAATATTATATATTTACCTAAATAAAACATCTTGGTTTTTCATTTTTTATAAATAATAGCCAAGTAGTAATAGCACACAACAATATTTACTGTTGATATTTTTTTTATTAGAGTACAAAACAAAAAATTTTAATACATAGTATTACCATTATACATTAATCTAGTGAATGAAATAAACGTATTGTTGTACTAATGAAAACTATAACGTATGACTTATTAGATCTTATCAGAGATATTACTCGGTTAACCGCAATGGACGTGTCAATAGTTTATGGTAAATAGTACAGAATGTGTGTTAAGGTTAGACATCTTGTGCTTAAGTACCTTCTAAGATGAAATATGTTCTAATTTATTTGCAAAGAAACGCTTTATAATAGAATACAATTAATTAAATTAATGTCAATCTTTTTAATAAATTTCAAACTTCACAACGCTGTTGTCTGTATACAATAACCTTTAACTTAAGTAACTTTTGAAGGACTGCTTTTTACATAAAATAAAAAATATATTGTGTTATAACCAATCCCAGTTAAAATAGACATGGAAACGATGTAATATACCTATTATTAAAAATAAGAAAAATAATTTATTTGACAGTGAATCATTACTAGATTTATTACTGATATTTTTAACCAAATAATACAGAATAC